ATGTTTAACGAGTTACAGAATGTAATATGTTGTGTCAAACTTTATAACGTGCGAGAATTACATAAAGTTTGTTATCTGTGACACATTGTAACTAATTTTAAACCGTTAATAATTAGGATCAGCCCTAACGGCTTATAATGAAGTTTAATCTGTTTGTTATTTAGTTTTGGGTTGTTTATGCATTCATTATTATGTATTGATTCCGAACAAAAACAGTTTCACTGTAAAAAATTGCGCCAAGTCCACGTTTATAAAACTCATCTCAATAACATTTGCACTTTACAAAAAAAAGAAGACTTCAATAGCTTTCATTCTCTACAAAAATATGTGAAATACAAAAAAATACCAAGAAACCGTCATAAAGATGAAAAAATTAAAAAAAAATTGTTGAAAATTTAAAAATAAAAAAATAAAAATTTTATCGTGCTTGGCGCGCGTCATTGAGTACCCCAAATTTTTCGGAAGAATTTCAACCCGAGAAAAAAACCATTTTGCTTTAATATACAGTGAAAGCTGAAAAAGTTACCCAGGTTGTCTTTTTCGCTCTTGTTAGCGTTTTATGAGAAATTGAGACAGAACTACGGTAATTTTCAACAGCTCTCACTATATACCTATGGGCTATTATATGCCAAATCGACCACTTTTGCGTCCGACCCCTTTAGATTCAGCTGAAACTTTATTATTCTTTTCTACCCTTTGAAAAACATCTTTGAGAATTTTTTCAAATGTTTTGAAGCCAACGTATACATACGTATCGACTCGTAAGTAGTTTGTATTTGTATAAGCGAACACGAGAGGGTGTTTAGTTCAAATCATAAAAGATGAGTGGGAAATGAAAAAAATTCAAATAACATACGTATGAGATGTCGATTTTACTTAACTTTTGTAAAACTTATTATGAAATAATAATTCATTAATTACATTTATGCATTTCATAGGTTGACCTACTTATAAATTTCTAAACATTGAAAGGATGTTCATTTATCCTGAAAAATTTGGGGTACTCAATGACGCGCGCCAAGTACGATAAAATTTTTATTTTTTTATTTTTAAATTTTCAACAATTTTTTTTTAATTTTTTCATCTTTATGACGGTTTCTTGGTATTTTTTTGTATTTCACATATTTTTGTAGAGAATGAAAGCTATTGAAGTCTTCTTTTTTTTGTAAAGTGCAAATGTTATTGTGATGAGTTTTATAAACGTGGACTTGGCGCAATTTTTTACAGTGAAACTGTTTTTGTTCGGATACGACTTACAATGACTGGACATAGACTAAGACAGAGATTTGACAGGTGATTTGAAAAGAAACAAAAGGACTTTTTGGCGGGAACGCGAGGAGCGAAGTTGTGTGAATCATTTATTTTGTCTATTTAGTGTTTCTTCAGGTTCAAATGTGTAATAACGGTGTTTTATTAGGTAAGTTTTATCAAGTCACGACAGATGGCGCACGTGTAGTTTTAATAAATTATTGTCTTTCATGCATTTAAGGATAGTCTCGTAACAGAATTTCTAAAAATTATCATCTCATTAGCATTGTACCATTTGTTGCATGTTCATATTTCACAAGGTTATAAACAGATAATTGCGTGAATAAGTTGAGAAGTCAAGATTGTTTTAAATTTAAAAATATCAGACTATCTGAAAACTGTATGTAAATCAATGTATCAAATCCACAATGGAAAAACACTAATAAAAATTTAATCTTTAAACTGGCAACCCTTACAAAACTGGTTCGCGTCTTGGACATTAATTTATTTATTTACTATTTTATTTATTACCTTTTCCACAGTCCTGGCACAAAAACGGTTTGTCACCCATATGCCTTTTTACATGTATAGAGAGCTGAGCGCTTTGAACGAAATTCTTGAAGCAAATACCACAGCTGTATAGTTTTTCTCCTGAAAAAAAAAAAAAAAACGACGATATATTATCTATGAAGAAATGTACCTTTTTTATGGCGAAATCATATCAATACCTCAATTTCGAGTAACGAGTCCGAAATTCAGTTAATTAATTAACTTATCATAAGTATAAGAAATTACTCCACTAACTACTACATAAAATTTCCTAATAGAAACTAAATTATACAGTATAATTACTAGATATTATTTTCAGAAATAAGAAATAAACGAACACTAGAAAACTTTATAGAAAAACAATAGTGTCATTTATGTCCATTCATAATCATTGTACCATAGAGATCATTGAGTTTTTTTAATTACTTCACAAGATCATCTTTTTGAAATACTACCCTATGAAACTAGGATTTTTTATTTGTTGTATACATATCATGGTTTATTGGCATAGGTAATGTCAGCGTTAAAAGAAGTCAGTGTATGCCTTTAGAATGTATAGCAATGTCACACACGGATAGGAGGTTCTTTCCAAGTTTTGACCTAGGTCATGTATGTCAGATTTTTTGTGTTCCTCTGTATGCTGTATTGTTAAGCTTCTTGTGGAATGTTCTAAGGAACTGTTTGTGATGATAGTGTTGTTTCTTTTAACCATCATACCACTCTTCGCTGTGGAGATAATAAGTATAATCTAGAACCATTAGAAAAAGACCAGTAGTGTACCATAGGTAAAACTCATCTTCCTCATCATGGCAGTTTCAGCGAAGCACTGCTCTGGCTAGGGCTAATGTTAGCAAGCCTTTTCAAATTGAGCCTGTGAGCTCACCTACCGGTCCATGAGTAGCTGGAATATTCCTTGGCTACCAGGAAAATCTGAAAATACGGTATCATATTTGCAGCTTACCTGTATGTACCCGTATGTGATTGACTAGGCCGGTCCGCCGACTGAATTGTTTCGGACAATACTCGCAATGGTAAGGGGTCTCCTTCGTGTGCACTTTCTTGTGTTGGAACAGGGCGCTGTGACCCCTGATAAAGAAAGAGAGAGAGAATATGCTTTATTATTTTGAAGTCGTTGTGGCCTAAAGGATAAGACGTCCGGTGCATTCGTATGTAGCGATGCACCGGTGTTCGAATCCCGCAGGCGGGTACCAATTTTTCTAATGAAATACGTACTCAACAAATGTTCACGATTGACTTCCACGGCGAAGGAATACCATCGTGTAATAAAAATCAAACCCACAAAATTATAATTTGCGTAATCACTGGCGGTAGGACCTCTTGGGAGTCCACACGGGTAGGTACCACCACCCCGCCTATTTCCGCCGTGAAGCAGTAATGCGTTTCGATTCGAAGGGTGGGGTAGCCGTTGTAACTATACTGAGATCTTAGAACTTATATCTCAAGGTGGGTGGCGCATTTACGTTGTAGATGTCTATGGGCTCCAGTAACCACTTAACACCAGCTGGGCTGTGAGCTCGTCCATCCAACTAAGCAATAAAAAAAAAATATTGTACACCCAAAACTACAGAGTTACTTTCATATTGTGAATATCTATACATTAAATATTTAATTTGAGAGTCCACTGGATGCAGACAGCACGGCGCAATGGTCTTATGAATAACCACAAGAAAATCACGATAGCATTTCCGATTGTAATGAAATAAAGGCTTAATTCTGTTCTAAATTAATCTCTATCTAATTATGAAAACACAAAAAGCGGTTCGGGAGATGTTTGCGATGCGAACACACTTACTTTTTTGAAAAAGGGTCTGTCGAATGACGGCTATTGAGGTGGCGCCACTGCAGCAAGTGGTATAATATATATCGTGTTAAATTGTTCAACTCGGCGTACTTAATACCGTTTACAAGTGCTATATTCATATCGTGACACTATTGTAGAATGTGGCGGGACGTCTTGTTAGCCCACCCGGGTAAGTACCACTATCATACCCAATTCTGCCGTGAAGCAGTAATGCGTTTCGGTTTGAAAGGGCGGGGCAGTCGTTGTACTGTTATTTTTACTGGCGGTAGGACCTCTTGTAAGTCCGCACGGGTAAGTATCACTACCCTACCCAATTCTGCCGTGAAGCAGTAATGCGTTTCGGTTTGAAAGGGCGGGGCAGTCGTTGTACTGTTATTTTTACTGGCGGTAGGACCTCTTGTAAGTCCGCACGGGTAAGTATCACTACCCTGCCCATTTCTGCCGTGAAGCAGTAATGCGTTTCGGTTTGAAAGGGCGGGGCAGTCGTTGTACTGTTATTTTTACTGGCGGTAGGACCTCTTGTAAGTCCGCACGGGTAAGTATCACTACCCTGCCCATTTCTGCCGTGAAGCAGTCATGCGTTTCGGTTTGAAAGGGTGGGGCAGTCGTTGTACTGTTATTTTTACTGGCGGTAGGACCTGTTGTAAGTCCGCACGGGTAAGTATCACTACCCTGCCTATTTCTGCCGTGAAGCAGTAATGCGTTTCGGCTTGAAGGGTGGGGCAGCCGTTGAAGTTTATTGAGACCTTAGAACTTATATCTCAAGGTGAGTGGCGGCAATTACGTTCTAAATGTCTATGGGCTCCAGTAACCATTTAACACCAGGTGAGCAGTAAGCTCGCCCAGCCATCAAAGCACTAAAAAAAAAAAACGATACTTAGAACTCAAAGTGGGGGCAGCTTTTACCGAATATTAATGTTTCATCAATGAATACCGCGTACTGACCTGAATGTGGCCGGGCACTCTGTACACTTGTAAGGTCGCACGTCGGTGTGACATATCTTATGAGCTTTCAGATTACTCTTCGTGCTTAGGATCTTGCCGCAGACGTCGCACTGGTGCGGCATCTTGCTTATTGGAGTCGCTGATAGCCCATTCTTTTCTAAAAATCCATTTTCGATTATGCAACCATAATCTTCTTAAACTTCAAAATGTGCGATTGAAATTTGCACACGTATCAACGATCGATAGGAAATGTATTAATTTATTTATTTGTCCCATCTTTAGCACCTATAACCTTTTTTTTCCTACCTAAGCTGATAGCCTTGAGGGGCTATTTCAGCGTAACCTTAACTAGTAGGTGAGCTCACAGGGCTCAAACCTGACGACGTTGCTAACACGAACCCTAGTAAGTCGTGCTTCGCAGAATCTACCACCGGATCGGAAACGCGACCCACTCAGAAGATCCGGCGAGAAACTCAGTGGGCTGTGTCTGTGGATTAATTTACTCGTCGAGCCCTTCTTCGCGAGCGACGGGCTCGACGAGAACGATGACCGGTGCTTGAGGTACCTAAAAGCACCGTTAGTCTGCTTTCCATTCTGTCCGACGTCGCCCAAAACACGTCATCTCGGATCCTCCCGATCCACTAACGGTGCTTGCGACGAAGGGCTAAGTTGCCACATATACATGGAACATTTAGGTGAGTTGACAATAGGTCTTCACTGGTACCTGGTACCATTTTCGCAGACGGCTTTACCTATGGTGCGGCAGGGTCTGGACGAGGCGATATCAGGGGTCGCCGGTCACATCGCTTTCAACGCACGCGTACCTATTCTATTTTGACAGCGTGATTGTTTTTTTATGTTTGAGGTATTACTGATGGCCTGGAGGCCTCTCCAGTTTCACCAGGATAGGTAAAGCAAAGGCTGAGCCAGGAGGCGTGATTGTACACGGGTGCTACATGAGTCAGAGACGCATATGACCACAATCGTGGCTGTTTCTGCCGCGAACCAGTCTTGCGGTCCGATTTGGGACAACCGTTATACGATCTTATTAAAATGGCGTGGTCCCATACGTCCCTATGCCCCTCTTTCCACAAACAACAAATGAGCGGTTAAGTCGCCTGCTGACTCAAAGCAACAAAATGATGCTGATCGAGACAAAAAAAAACAATCACAATCTTAATTAGACAAAACTTTAGGTAGTTATCATAGAATAAATCCGAATCGCGCTAACGACATTTACAAGAGAACTATGTATACAAGAACATCCAAACTATCGTCTCATTAGCACCTTAGTTAAGCTTGGTCGGCTCCTTTTATTATTGCTTATAACAACTAATATTAGATCAACTTTCATCAATTAGATCACCCTGCCTATTTCTGCCGTGAAGCAGTAATGCGTTTAGATTTGAAGGGTGGGTCAGCCGTTGTAACTATACTGAGACCTTATAACTCATATCTCAAGGTGGGTGGCGACGTTGTAGATGTCTGTGGGCTCCGGTAACCACTTAACACCAGGAGGTCTGTGAGGTCGTCCACCCACCTATGCAGTAAAAATAAAAAAATGAACAAACATTATTACCTTTCTTCTTCCTTCCCCTTTTAGCTTTGGGTATTTTATTTATATCTGAAAACAGGACGTTTAAGCTTAATTATCAACTAATATAAAACTATATTATTTTATATTTATTTAATGAAAGTGCAACAACATTCTTTTGAAGTATGTGGAACTTGATATGTTCATTACGGAGTTAGGAACTCAAGACCCCATCTGGTGTTAAGTGCTTAGAACCCATAGACATCAAAACGTAAAAGCAGACGTTGCATGTAGATTTACATAATAAAATGTGACTTTGGTTGGCTGAAAGACAAATCAAGTATGAGTGAAAATTTTGTAGATACTTTTTTTTATGTGTACATAATTCGACGCTTGAAAGGCAAAAGTGACTAAGCGACAATGCGTAAAGTTGAAATACCTGAAAACAAAATTTATTTTAACGAATCTAGCTAATAGCTGTAGGATTGAAATGATTTTAATAGACCTAGAAATATATTTTATTTGCGCATCGAATATGGTTATTGCCTATCATTTATGTACAAAGCAGTTATTGTCGCTTAGTCACGTTTGCCTTTCAAGCGTCGATATTATGTATAATCTAATAATAGTTTTTCTAAATAAAAATATTTATAAATTAGTGTTTGTGCGTTGCGGGTTGTCATTTATGTAATAAGCTTGATAATTCTTTTTGAGTCTATCATGACAACATCCATCAAATGGCCCACTCTGCAATTGTTTTTGACACTTAAGGTAATATCTCATCGCCATACGTGAGGTCCACGCGAGTGGTCATAAGCTAATGACTGTTTAATACGTTTGTTAATAATGCTAGCTTCAATATATTTTGCTATAGTTTGCTATTAGTTATACAATGGAGTTTGATATGATATCAGTACTGAAGTTTTTGAACTTTTAATATATAATTTATTTTGTAACCTTATTAACTTTATACAGTAATCCCCCCAATAACACGGTACATTGGTTCCGCGTTATAGGAAACGCGTTGTAGGGGTATTCTCGCACAACGCGCTTATGTATGACCTCATATAACGTGTTATCTACAAATATATAATTTTTTACAATTCAAAAACTATGAATACAATTTGATATTATAAAAACACAGTTGACAAAATATGCAAAGGTCCACGATTGATTATGAACTGTACAAATCATTATAAATTTCACAGTACAAAAATAGTATAACGTGTGTAATTCCTGAATGCCCGTGTTATACGGGAGACTGAAATCGTGCAATATAAAAATGAGTTATAAGTATACCGTGTTATAAGGAAAATTACTGTATTGTTGAATTATTTTTTAAATCATTCTTGCCTTTTTCCAACCAAATGTCCGGTGTGTCTCCATGATCAAGATTCGTACCTGAAAATTGATTTGAACATTAAGCACATAGTTATGTTCAAAAAAAAAAAATTAGTACAATATGAAATGAACTGACTTGTTCTTACCGTCATCTTTTTTAGACTTTATCTCTTCTAATAAGAGGTTATCGTCTTCTGCATCCCAATTGCTCTCATTGTCTTCGTCGTTTTCTGAAAGAATCAATATTGTTAGATCAAACAAAAAAAGGTAGATTAATCAAACAAATGAACCCTTAAAAAGTTATATTATGTTCAATATATGGTATTTATAAATGTGTTATTTACAAGAACTCCATTTTCAACTCAATTTTAAGTAAACTCAAATACACCAAATATAAGGAACCAATCAAACAGAAAATAGAACATTTTAGGAAGCACAGACGTAGTCAAACCAGTAGAGCCTCAGCATCGGACCAAGTCACAAAGAGAAAAGAGGATAAGTTTGTTCCTAATGTATGGGAAGACAACATATCTAAAATTTATAAATTAAGAACAACTATACAATAATTTAAGCTGCATCCACCATTTTCCTGATCGAAGAAACATACTTAAAACTTACACACTTAACAGATAAGTGATCCATGACTAGGCCCAATGAATACAATTATTTGTGTCAGAATTATTTCCCTAGATAGGTGGATGGCTAGATGATATTGTTCCTTCATTAGAAGTCATGTCTGAACATTGGGTCAAGATTATATTACATTAGAAAATGTTATACTAGAGTATGGAATTTGAACTCTATAGTCCATAATATCAAATCTTACTACCATCACAGGTTGATCAGGTATTTTAAATTACTGTTTACATTAAGATAACTTACATTATGTACATTAAGATAAGTTAATTGGAATTAACTTTGATGAGATTTTTAATTAGATAGGTAATTCTTATCAATTTGTTAACAAATTGATTAATAATTTTTTTTTAATTAACATTCAAAATATTTTCAGCCATTATGATGCTTTGTTGGTAAAAACTTTATTCAGTGGTTACTGGAGCTCATTAACATCACAAGGTGAAAGTTGTCACCCGTCTTGAAACTGTTGGAGTCTCAATTATGTTGCATTTTTTTTTTAAATATAAATTTGGCTCCAACACCTTAGCTATTGATTTTGCCAATGTCAAAGTATGAACAAAAATGGCAGGTGCTTAGAGAGAAAAAAATTACTAATACAAATAAATTTGATCAGTTTTGCCATAAGCATATCTGTGATTTTAAGAACATCACAAACAAATGTATGTTACTAACTACTTTAAAGATAAATATTATTAGCAGATAAAAATTTACACAGAACATTTACATGTTTAGAATAAAGTTAATAAAATTATGTTGAATTATGACTGTCTCACCCGTCAAATTGGAATGGCTGACTTTGCCAGTGAAATAGCCAGGATGGTGGTACCTTCACATTTATGCTATTAAAATACTTTATCACCAAGCTTCAACTACCATGCTAAGAGCTCAATATCTTGAGAATTGGACATCTAAACTTCCAGTATGAACATTTGAAAATGAACATAGTTACTTACCAGTTTTGATATCGTTTTTAATACCATCTTCATCTGATACACAAGATGGTTTAGTATCATCTAGACTATCACTTTCCCTTTTAAGCTCATTGTATTCCTGTTTTATATCTTGATTGGGGATACTATTTAATTCTATGCCGTTTTGCGATATGACATTCCGTAATTCAACATCACTTTTCTCGCATTGTAAGTTGAAGGCGTACACTTTTTTCAACTGTCGACTGCAGTCTTTGCAGATGCCTCGAGGTAGTCCATCATCAACTATTGGCTAAAATTATTTTTAAATAAATGACACATTATTTTTCTCTACGATATCTTTAATTTAGATTCGAAACTAGTTGTTTCTGTTACATTCTTGTTTGTTATCAAAATTTGACGCCACTATGCAAATTTACTCGGTTTCTTATTGAAGCTAGTATTTTTTGGTAATTAATGAAGTTAATTTAAAACAACAAAGCTTGTTATCTTAAGTGTATACGGGAGTTTTATTCAAATTTAGTTTTTCATTATCATTTTCCAGAGAACGATTGCGTTTAATTTTTTTTCAAATTTCCATTCTAACGTACCTTTAATTTCGTACAACTAGCCAACATTTCACTGTATAACGTTTTTCTTTTCACATAGTAACAGGTAAAAATATCGAAAATTTGTTTGCTTGTTTGTAAGCATATTCTGCACATTGTTTTCAGATTAAGATAGGTCACTGACGACTCGGAACTATTCGACATCATCAGTAATACACTAAGTTGAAACTTACATTAATAATAAATCAAAACATTTACATTTCTTTTTAAAAAAAAATTAATTACAAAATTGGTAATCGAAACACAACACCACACAAACAATGTCAAGTTGCGTTTAATTTTTTTGTGTTCAAATAAATAGGTGATAATGTTGGTAATTTTAAGATAAAATGATTAGAAAAATAAGTTGCACGCGTATTTTTATAGAATTAATTTAACTCACTGTACTAAAAATCGTAAACATATATTACCGAAAAATCTAATTTCGTTTTATTACAAGAATCACTCTTGGCAGATGGGAGTATGCAGGAATAAAACGATCAATTTTAGTCGATTGTCACATCAATTTTATACATCAAATTTAGAGCTCAACTCAAAGAAACGCTTCGGATTTCTGACAGCTAGATAAAATGTCGGCGTTCGAGTAAATGTCATCTGTGCTGTTTGTTTTCGAAAATTGTTTAATTATAGCAAAACAACAGGTTACTTAAAGTAAAACCATGTCGACATTGCAAAAGACTATTATGAAAAATAAACTGCCACCAAGATGTCCTAAAACGTCTGGTGTATCCAAGTATGTTTGACATTCCGCTTAGAATATCTTGAAATTTGACAGACTTCTTTGAGTATTAAATTTTAACTATGTATTTTAATTAAGATTCGATTAGAAATCTTCAGTAATCTAACGAAAAACACTAGTTCATAAACCATAAATAAAATGTACTGTTTTTTTCTTAAAATTTCAGCAACAAATTATAATTGCGGTTTTTCAAATTCAATCGTATCTCAGGTTGGCGCCTTTCGGTGCTGGGCGCCGTAAAGACTATACACCAGTATCTTGGAAGCAGTATTTTGAAAGGTTCGTTGATGTGGAAACCGATGGAGGAACTTTCCGGGTGTACCTGTCGCCGGAGCCCGATCACCCTCAAAGACCTAGATTTGTAACTCTTCATGGAGGGGGATACTCGGGACTCAGCTGGGCATTGTTTACTGTAAGTTTTGAAATGTTTTGTTAATTACCCGTCGGAAAAAATTGTAATAACTTATGAATCTGTTGGATGCTCACTATTAAGTTGTGGTATTTTTAACTTATATGTAGTTTGATATGGGATATTAAAAGCTTCAAAATTCTTCATTTTTAGCTGTCCTAATGTCGAAAAGGAATTCTTTAGCATAACCATGACACAATATTCAATTTCTAAGCTAACCATAAATAAATAACCGTGGTGGTGCCTTGTAATCAATATATGGGACAAGTTTTTATATTAGTGTTTTTTTTAGATTAGTTTTATTTTAGATTAGTGGATGACATAACAAAATTAGACAGTGTGGTCACACCACAACTTTATTAATGTTGACTTGAACACTATTTAATATTTATGGACATTTTACTATGTGTGTATGATGTATGTATACACAAATCCTAAATAGTGGCAACTCTATTATCTAAAATTAATTGAGTTTTTTACTAACAAATATTAGATTAGACTATTAGATGTTTTTACATTAAAATTGATTTTGCACTTCGATAAAGCGGCACGACACGAGAACCCTCTGATCGTGGCTGCCGGTAACTACATTCCCGACCTTGCGGATAGAATGGAAAGCAGTCGACGTCGCCCCAACCCGTCGCCTGCGACGAAGGGCTCAACGAGTAAATTAACCCACAGACACAGCCCACTGAGTTTGTCGCCGGATCTTCTCAGTTAGTCGCGTTTCCGATCCGGTGGTAGATTCTGCGAAGCACGGCTCTTGCTAATGTTCGTGCTAGCAACGTCATCAGGTTTGAGCCCCGTGAGCTCACCTACTAGTTGAGGTTACGCTGTCTGGCGGGTAACCATCATACAACGCAAGATATTTGACAGATGCCTGAATACGACATTTTTAAGATAAGCTTGCATATATACAAGTTCCGAACAACCACATTCGGACCATCGGTCTACCGAGCAAATATCACCCGCTCAGTGGAAGATCTTCCCTTTGTCGTTAAACACCCCAAAGCTGACATAGCCTCTCAAGGCTATCAGCTTAGGTAAGAAAAGAAAACGATTTTGTTTTTGCATCTTGATTGATTACTACTAATGAAGTTGTAGAAACGAACGATTCTAAGAAATTAGTCTTCAAATCTAAAAGGATAGGTCAAGGTTTTATCTTCTAAGATCATTATCACATTTATTGTATTGTTTTACAGGAGGAAATCACAAACATGGTGCACTGCCAAGTTGTGTCAATAGACCTCAGGGGCCACGGTGAAACAAAAGCAAACGACTCTGATGATCTCAGCGCTGAAACATTGGTTAAGTGAGTATAATTAATTTTTAGTATCTATTTTCTAAGAATATGTAATAAAAATACCACATTATTAAAATGGTGATGAATAGAATCTTAGTTGTCTTTCATACAAAAAATAGCTCTGAAATAATATAATGAAAATAACAAGCACGAAATTACACAGTAAAAGTGATTTAAGTCATATTTACGACTTGAGTAAATTAAAGATAATATTCTACATAATATATACTTCAGTTAAAAAATATAAAAATTTTAATTGGGACATGAAAACATATATAAATAGTCATAAGTTTTTATTGTTTATAATGAATATTAAAACCTCTTGATTTCCAGAGACGTTGAACAAGTGCTACACAAGTTGTACGGTGATAGCTTACCACCTATAATACTGGTAGGACATTCAATGGGAGGAGCTATAGCAGTTAGGACTGCTCTCCTACCAACACTAGAACCATTTGTGCAGGGAATAGCAGTGATTGATGTTGTCGAGGGTAAGAAATTGTTGAAAGATTTATAATAACTTGAACGGTGAAAAAGATTAATGTTGCACAGTTATCAAAATTCTGTTTTCATTTTGGTATTTCATTTATTATGAATTTCTAATGGCCACGAGATTTACTTCAGGAGCTAGACTGCGGTTTGTATTCAGTGCCGTGCAGTTTTGTGATTATTTCAAAATGTTAAATGCAGATTATCATGAAGTAGTATTGATTATAAATCACTAGTCATTATGCTAGATGCATTAGACTAGGCAATTATTATTAAGAGCCTATTGACAACAATCAATTTTCTTTGAAACATGAAGTAATATAACACAAAATAATATTCTAAACTTCACCAAAAGTAAGGAAAAACACAACTCAAACCGGAACACAACGGCTTTGTGCCAGTATAGGCAGGACAAGTGTATCAACCTCACAATCAGACAAGGTCCATTGGTTTTGTATAATTATAAACTTTGTGGGTCACATTACACCAGGAGATATTTTATAGTGGAACTTGAAAGTTATTACTACATCGCAATTCAATCTTGATCTACATAACTAAACCCATTATCTAATCTGTTAGGGCATGGATGGTACTAATTGTTCTTTTGTTACTTGTAAGATGATTATGAAGCTACCCTTATAGTACTTGTCATAATTATATCGAAGTTTCGTTCCGTAGGGATTCCACCAAACTGTACTGGAGCAGCCTGGTGGAGCATGCTCCACTCCTCTGGTTGTGAGGAGAGACAGTTGCCCGAGAGTAGGTCGCATGGATTCATATTATATAGGAAATGCTTTTAGTTACTCAAAGTCAGTTGATTTCAGATATTAAAATTTGAAAGGCATTATAATAAACCTCATTTCCCAAAAGAAATTCACTTAGTATAAGTTTCCAAACATACAGTCAAATTAAGAAATTCTCACGGATCGTTTGGAACCCCTGGGTCTGCGGAGGGACTTCGGTTTCCTCTGTATTTGGTACTGTATGTTCCATGGGGAGCGCTCTGAGGAATTGTGTGAGATGGTTCCCTCATCTCCTTTTTATCATCGCACCTCCCGCCATCGGAGCAGAGTTCATCCATATTATCTGGAACCGCTGCGTTCATCGACAGTGCGTTTTCAGAGGTCTTTTTTGCCACATACCATCCGGCTATGGAATGAGCTCCCCTCCACGGTGTTTCCCGAGCGCTATGACATGTCCTTCTTCAAACGAGACTTGTGGAGGGTATGTAGGCAGCGGCTTGGCTCTGCCCCTAGCATTGTTGAAGTTCATGGGCGACGGTAACCACTCACCATCAGGTGGGCCGTATGCTCGTCTGCCTACAAGGGCAATAAAAAAATGTTAACTTGTTTAGTTCTCTTAATTGGCTTTTAAAAGGTTATATTTTCGTATTTAAATGAGGAAAACCAAGAGGCTGAATTGTTAAAATTATTTCACTAAATGAGAAACGAAATAAAATGTCTAGCTCCTAAAGTATCTTTATTAATATTATCTAATAGCACTTTGTAAATAGAAGATCAAAAATCAAATTTTTTCTTGCTTTTCTTTGCACATACTTACTCAGATGCTTATTTGGCATATTTTTGTGTTGTGTCGCCTTCTTCACGTTAAGAACAGACCTTGAGATTATTCGGGATACAGTTATTGTGATCAGAATATAGTGCTGGAAATAGTTTCCTCCCGGGATTTAAAGTTTTCTTTTTGAATGTACAATATTTATTACTTTCATAATAGTTAATAAACTTCAGTTTAGATATTGACCTTCAGTTTAGATAATACCCGCACCCTAATGTTGCCTGATTTCTTGCAGTTTTAAAAAAACAAAACAACAGAATTGTATCTTCACTATGAAATCAATTTTTATCTCGTAGTAATGAATGAAACAACTAAATAACTGGAAACAAAATTATGTTATTTAACATGTATTTAAAACTAAAGATGATGAACAATTTATTAAACTATGGTACCTACTAATTTATTAATCAATAAATTTAATCTATAAATAATGAATAAATATAAAATTTGGCAAAATTCCAGTCTGAGTAAATTATTAGTGAGTACATACAGTGATACATTCACAGTTTGTTTACACACACATTGTTAGTAAAAAAAAATTGTAAAATGTATTTTTATGTACCCACAGTTTTATCAATTGTTTTAAATTTGCTAACCGTACTGGGATTTAACGTCTCCGCTGCCAGTCTTCCTGTGATAACAGATATTTTAATTTTTGTGATCACATCATCAGGCACCGCCATGGACGCACTGGCCAGCATGCAGAGCTTCCTACGAGGCAGGCCGACTCATTTTAAAAGCATCGAACACGCTATCGAGTGGTGGTGAGTGCTTATCCCAGGATATCGTCGTTGTCAAACCAAAATCGGCTATGTGCATTTTTTGAGATTTTTAGTTTTTCACCTTTTCGTTTAGTTCACAGCCCTATCTACCGTATAAAAAAACTTATGTATCTAGAGCTTTAATATTTATCTATAGCTTTCATTTCATATAGTTCTTAAAAATTAACCTTCATATAAATTTTTATACAAAAATGTTTTTACTCGTTAATTCAAAATAGAGTTTTTGCACATAGCAGATTTTGGTTTGATAGCGACGACATACTACTTGAACAATTTATTTTTTAATTTATGGCATCACTGCAGTAGAGTAGGTAGGTTTAAATTAATAAAAAAAATAAAAAAAATTCACCCTTTTGGGTGTGAACACATCTTGCTTAAGAGCGGTTGTAAATAAGATAAAAATATCGATAACTAATATTAAAACTAAGAGAAACAAAAAAAAGCTTTAAATAAAAACTTACAAAAACAATCAACAATAAAAAAAGAAGAGGGAAATTAATGTTCAATAAAAATCAAATGTGATATGTAATCAAAAAACGATTTGGCTTTAACTAAGATTCTATTGTAATTCTACTGAGTGGTAATAGTTATGAAGGTTATGTGCGTCGATCAGGTCATGTCAGGTCAGGTTTTCATATTTTAATTTTTTCATAAAAACAAGCATATAAATTAAAATAAGACATGACCTAAAAGGTCTTAGTTACCAGGTCATAAAATCCATTAAAAAAATAAAAAAAACCGTCCTAGGTTTGTGTGTGTGAGAGGGACTAGTGTTTGTATTAATATTGTTATCATTAAGCTCCCATTGTGTTATTTGTGTTGTTCAGTTTGTGCTTTTTGTTTCAGCGTGAGGAGTGGTCAGGTGCGCAACGTGGACTCTGCCAAAGTGTCGATGCCGGGACAGATTGTCAAGTTAGTCGCTTTCCGTTCCTTATCACGTCACGTTGGAAGCTGGCTTTATCAGCTGGGCTTATCAGCATTAAAGAGTATATGTATTTGTGGGTCATGGGAGCTGGCGGGGTGCGGGGAAGCTCATTGAGTTTCTCGCCAGATTTTCTCAGTGGGTCGCGTTTCCGATCAGGCGGTAGATTATGCGAAGCTCTGCTCTTCTTAAAGAAGCTCAGCCTGACAGTGTCAGAACTCAGGGTACAAATGGCGCAGATGTATTAGGGGGACCGCCCCCAGTTCAAGTGGGATAAGGAAAAAAGATGTTTAGTTGTGATGAGTTCTCGGGTTGGTTGGTTGAGTTTCAGTGGTGAAAACACGGAACCGAGGGGGGCATACAGATGGCTCCCCTCCTTTTTAATACGCTTTTATTAGTTTCAGACGTATGTATGTTTGTAACGGAATCTTTGAACATGATTTTGACCCCCTTCAAAAGTCGGATTAACTCAAAATTTGGTATACTTATTAAGGACTGATTACAATTCAATATTTAAAAAAATTATTGAAAAAATTGAAATTCAACTAAAAAATGAAAAATAAATAATAGTTTAAAAAAACTAACAAAATACGCATTTATAGAAAATCCAACTAAAAGATAGAAAATAAATTTTAATTAATTTGAATTAAAAATAGTGTAAGAAAAAATGATTTTATTATAAAAAAACCGTGGGGTGCATGGTATCAGTAGTTATAAATATTTTATGAACAGATATGAGTAGAAGGGCTATTTTTGATAATATCCTGAAAAGCACCCCACGCGTTTTTATGATAAAATCATTTTTTCTTACACTATTTTTAATTCAAAATTTCTATAAAAGTGTATTTTGTTAGTTTTTTTAAACTATTATTTATTTTTATTTATTAATATTTTCTGATGTTGCTGCAGCTGCGAGACGGGCCTCCTGGCTACGAACGAGGTGGAATCCTATCAGCCGGTCGAGGATCTGGGCGAGGCGGGTCCGCGACACGACGCTCCGCATCACGACAGTATCCTGGAGGAAGAGGGAGCCGAAGGGGAGGGGATGCAGCATCACTTCGCCAAGCCAGCTGTCACCGGAGACCGCGGCATGAAGTGAGCTTTGCGAGTCGTTATAGGGTTCTGGTATTGGAGGCAGCTGTGTAGGGGTATGGGTAGGAACTTGCAACAATTACTGGTGGTAGGACCTCTTGTGAGTCCGCGTGGGTAGATACCACCGCCCTGCCTATTTCTGCCGTGAAGCAGTAATGCGTTTCGGTTTGAAGGGTGGGGCAGCCGTTGTAACTATACTGAGACCTTAGAACTTGTGTCTCATGTGTGTCATAAAAGCAATAATAAAAAAAAAAACATTTGTCCGCTCTGAAGTTTTGATGTGTTCTATTTGTCTGTGCACTGTATTGTCCCTCTGCGAGTGTGGCGGGTCACTGAGGGAGTTCCCTGATAACAGAGAGCAGCGTTCTCTGATCACTAGACCGGCGTCTACTGGCGTTTGGGCGTATTGTGAGTCCGCATTAGTGGGTATCTTGTCTACTTTGTGCCCAGTTATGGTGTTATGTGTGTCGTGGCAGGTACCGGTGGCGCATCGCGCTGGCGGGCACGGAGCGGCACTGGGCGGGCTGGTTCCGCGGCCTCTCCGCCGCCTTCCTCGCCGCGCGCGCGCCCCGCCTGCTGCTGCTCGCCTCCGTGGACGGACTCGACCGGGAGCTCACCGTGGGACAGATGCAGGGTCAGTGCGACTTGCCGCGTACCATCCGACTTTGGAATGAGCTTGTGGCGTGCTGCCCTATTTGAAACAGAATCGCAGAATCCCGGGATGGGAGCGTCTCCTTAGTGCAGCCCTGCCTTAGTGCAGCCACATCTCGCCACTCAAACGAATGTAAAGTGAATGCTGCGGTGACCGAAACCGGTCGCCAGTCGAGGCAACCACACCGAGACGAACGGATGTCGCTCTGCGCTCTGCCGCTTGCATATATTCAACACGATATAACCGACCAGCAGTTATAAGCTCCCCTCCACGGTGTTTCCCGAGCGCTATGACATGTCCTTCTTCAAACGAGGCTTGTGGAGGGTATTAAGCGGTAGGCAGCGGCTTGGCTCTGCCCCTGGCATTGCTAAAGTCCATGGGCGATGGTAACCACTCACCATCAGGTGAGCCGTATGCTCGTGCGACTACAAGGGCAATAAAAAATGACATCGTGGACCGTCGTATCTTGTTAACGCCCATAGCGCCATTCAGGGTTTTGTCAGATCTTCCAATTCCATGACGACATGTCTCCCAAGACATGACATTGAATCCATCCAGTCACTTTTATGCAATTCATGAATTTCAGTTTAATAATTTTCTTTATTTTTGCGTATTTGAAAACATCATTTTGGCCCAAAATGTCCCATGGGAGATTTTAAATTTGCAACGACGATACATAAATGACATTTGCTTTTCAGGTAAATTTCAAATGCAAGTGCTAACTCGCTGCGGGCACGCCGTGCACGAGGACACACCGGGCGAGGTGAATATTTCACACACACACACGTTTATTTCACTAGTTATCTACATAATTCATTCACATAGCAACACTGCACAAATTGACATAGACATTTTTTTTGTTGGTACAATTTTTCTAGAGGCAAGAGGATCTAAGCCCATACAGCCTTTTCTGTTCTATATAAAATGCCATAGACATCTCGCAAGCTGTCAAATGTCAAACCGTACTGACTGTCAATTATAGAGGGTAGAGGTAAGAAGAACCGCCTCTGCGTAAAAAGTGTCCGTTAAAATCTGCTAAATAAGGTGGCGCTACAGTAGCAACCGGTTAAATTTTAAATAAGGCGCTGAAAATTATTAGAATAAGATAGAGAAATAAAAAAGGACGAAAGAACTGGAAGCACTACAAAATCACAAAAAGTATTTTATTTAAAGCCGATAAGAAAATGCAATCGATGTCTCCACGTTTTACCACAGCAATAATTTTAGGTCATATTGACGAAATTAGTTTGGACTACGTAAACATGTGAGGTCTTGTATATTACTACACTGTCACTAACTACTCTACTCATTAAATATATTAAATTTCCTAACTCAGCATAATTCGATCAGTTAACATCTGCTCAATTAATATCATACCCTGTGCCTATGCTAGCGCCATTCTGGAGGATTTTCGAACTGTTATTTAGTGCTGAAAGTGGGACACTTTTTCAAGCTTCTCCCATATGAGACGGTTCTCCTTACCTCTACCCTCTATACTTTCAATGTTTTTTTTATTATTTTTTTTATTTTTTTTATTACATAGATGGGTGGACGAGCTCATAGCCCACTTGGTGTTAAGTGGTTACTGGGGCCCATAGACATCTACAACGTAAATGCGTCACCCACCTTGAGGCATAAGTTCTAAGGTCTCAGGTATAGTTACAACGGCTGCCCCACCCTTCAAACCGAAACGCATTACTGCTTCACGGCAGAAAAAAGCAGGGTGGTGGTACATAACCGCGCGGACTCTCAAGAGGTCTTACCACCAGTAAATGTCAGCAGTGCAATCGTTCGTGATGAAGGTTCTCTTGTTTTTGAAAAGTCGCTTGCGCCTGCCATAAAAATCAAGATGTCGAATGTTTCGATTTTCTTTTACTGATAACGTCACAGCTTTACACTGTGTACTTAAAAAAAAAGAAGATTGGTTTAAATAGCGCGCTTCTGTCGTGAAGCCTACGTGCCCGTTTGCAAAGTCAGGGGAGCCGTTGTACTATAAAGTTAGACCTCATGTCTCAAAGTCAGATCAGGATCAGGTCTCAGTAAACACGAGGAGCGGGGAGGGGGGGCGGTTGAGGGACTATCCCCTGGCGTCCCCTGGGTTACCGGCGTGCCCATGTTCCAGGTCGCCCGGGTGATAGCCGCCTTCGTGCTGAGGCACCACATCACCACGGCGACCGATAATGGGGAGCTCATGAACATAGCGTCGGGCCCGCCCGGTTGCTGAACGCGCCACACGTAGACATATTGTATAAGGCATTTTGTAATCCAACACCGAGAACATACTATCTAGATTAGATTTAATAATGTTTAAGCTAATAAATTTAAAAGTTCCGCAACTATGAGTGACGTCATTTGTGGCCATAACGTTCGACGTGGTAATCATAGTTTGATACATTAATATATACACATATCTAGAATAATTAGATTTGATTTAAAGATGTCAATCATTAATATGCAATAAGATAGTGATCTAATATTCGTTTAACTAAGGCCTTTTATAATGATTAATCAACTGGATTGAAATATTAAAACGTTACCATTTAAATTCGTGATAAAATTATCGATGTCGGGGTGGGGATGTGAAATCGATTAATCGTTAATTTATTTTATTGATCAAAATTATCGTTATTCAATCGATACCAACTTATAAATCGATCTCTGACAGTGGTATAACTAGCCCATTCCACTCGCAGCGCCGTCAAGTGCGGGCGTGTATTTGTTCGACCCGTCAATCGCTCGCGGTTTGGTTTCGTTAAATACATCGCTTTGCTCGATTGTTTTGCTGAAAACTCAACTGCCGTTCCCACGGAAAACGACTGCTACGATTAACCAGATATAGCGCTATGTATCGTAGCGATTTCACACACCCTTTCCGGCTAAGGCCAGTCATTTTCACGACTAAACCCATGTTTTGCTTCCGCCCGTTTTAACAAATACATACCAAGTAGGTCCCATCCCGTTCTCCCGCAGCTGTTGATTTCACGACAGAGACACTTCTTCTCACTCAACCACTCACCAGTGCCCCTGAACCCCCCACTCCCTCACATCGAGACGTCAGTGTACCGTATCGAACTGACTGGACACCAGCCGACCGTCATCGCATCCGTATTCCTTTCTTTTATGATTGACAGATTACTGGTGGCCCGAAGGCCTTTCCAGTTTCACCAGGAAAAGTGGGCGAGTAAAGGCTCAGCCAGGAGGGGTGGGATTTGCTTAAAGCTGCCCGAGCGCCTCCGAAGGAGACCTAACAACTCAAGAGCTGCTTCGCGAATGAATCTACTACTGGATCGGAATCGCGACCCGCTGAGAAGATCCGGTGAGAAACTCAGCGGGCTGATGCATGGGTTAGGTTGCACGTCGACCACTTTGTCGTTCAACGAGAACGGTTACCGAGCTCCCTAAGCCTGCTCCCAGTGTTAGAGCTGAAGGCGTCTAATGCAAAGGTTATTAAAGATCTGATGGATCCGTAAGGACATGATCCGGCAAGGCACAACGCCGCATTGGAATTGCTGTCGTGGTAGCTGGTTGGAGCAGCGTGCTTCGTAAGGAATGTCGACCTTCATGAAGACCTGTAATTAGATTCCTACAGTACCTATATCCTACAGTACCAGTAGTAGTATATTGAACGGTCGGTTCGTTCTTTGTCATCAATTTCGTGTATGTCTTAAGAAGGCATTGAAAAGAATGCTCCGTTTGTCACATTCGCCCTTGTTCCAATTTTTTTTTGTTTTGTCTCTTCGAATCACTTGTCAAGTCTCTGTCTTAGTCTATGTCCAGTTATTGTGGGTCGTATGTGCTGTCAAAGAGGTTGCACGCCACGACATATATGAAGATAGCATCCGAGAGCCATATCTCCACCGTATCGATATCGTTATCTTATCGTGCTTGCCAGTAACTACATACCCGATCCTGCGGACGAAACGGTAAACAGTCAAGTCACTTGTGATCCTCCCGATTGATTATCGGTATTTTTAGGCACTAAAACACCGGTCACTGTTCTCATTGAATCCTTCGAATGTGACGGGTTCGTCGAGACGTCGTGAACCTAGCATAATCCCTAGATTCGATTTCTCTGTTTTTATAATTCAACTATAAATAGATCAAATTAATGACGAGCAAAATTTCATCTTATTTCATAACAAAAAAGAAACCAAAAGATCTCATTTAAGTATGAAGACAGTCACAATAATCAGTATGTTAATGTATGAATTATGGTTAGTTCGTCACTATTTTGGCCCCAAATGACGTCAGATGCAATGATGATGCGTGCGGGACGAATTTGTAAAGTTTGCGCAGCGATTTCGAAAATTAACCGTCTGACCTGCATTAATGGCGCAGCATCAAATAGATGCGCGTGCAAAATTTGTATAACTCATGAGTGCTAACGGCTAGCGGTAGCACAAGTTCCTTTTAAATAATGTATAATCGATTTGAATCGACGAATCTTATGTGTAACAACAGGCAATGGAGCATAAAAACAAATCATTAGGGGTGGGTAGTTCTAATATCATTACCTACAATATCCGGCCAACTGATGATTTTTTAATATTAACAGAGAAAATATCGACTACAGATCTCCTAAAAAATAGCAGGTTTTAGATTAATGTTTAAGAGTAACCGCTTTGATTAAACTCTGGGGAGGCTGAACGACAAAGGGAAGATCTTCCACCGAGCGGGTGATATTGCTCGGTAGACCGACGGTCCAAATGTTGTTGTTCGGAACTTGTATATATGCGCTTTATCTTGAAAATATCGTAAGCGAGATTTAGGCATCTGTCAAATATCTTGCGTTGTATGATGGCTACCGCCACAAAACAATCGACTAAAGTTATCGATTTTATAATTCTGTTGATGATCTCGAAAACGAATCTTATGATGCTAACAGTAAGTGTAGATTTCAATTTATTTTTTAATATAGGTACAATGTTATTTGTCTTATGTTGAAATACTAAATTCATAACGTGTTTCTCCTAAAACTAACAAAAGCGTCAAGATTACAAATAATGCCTATACATGTTATAACTTTTTATTTAAAAAAATGTAAAGTTTGTAGTTTAAGATAAATAAAAAAAATCGATAGATTATTGTTTGAGAAACTATTAAAATATAACATTGAAAATATCAAGATTTATTTCATATTATTATAAAATATTGAAGCAATAACTGTAATTTTTATAGTTAAAGTTGTTCCTGATAATATTTCACAAAGTAGACCCTTGGAGGTGCTTCAAGGCTACCAGCCAGCTTAAGTAGGAAAAATAAAATCACGTCTGTAATTCGGTATTGAAAAATTTGTGATTTAACATAACGCGCATTGTAACGCAATTCTAAATCGATTGTCGCCTCCGGTCATTGACTTCGTATGCCTTCGCTGTGTATGTATGTAATATAAAATTGTTAAAACCCAGTACATTTTTATGCTTAGATCAGTATTAGTTTTTGTTTACGGACTCGCAGACGTCTACCGGAGCACATGTAGACCTTGAGACGTGAGGTCTGAGCCCCAAATGAGGCTCAAATTGACGACAGCAAATAAATTAAATTTAAAGAACTTAATCTGCTCTGGGCAATAAACAAACTCCACTTTGACTTTTTTATAATTTCTAAAATGGCTGACGAAAATCAGATAAGCAAGTTAAGTACAATTATGTGTGTACATATACACATATACAATACATATAAAAATATATATAGTGAATAGGAAATATCGGCGATTGGATGGGTTATGCAATAAACGCATTTGAATTCGCTTCGCTAACATTGTCTGCGATTTTAATAAGTTTTTTTTATGAAATTTCTAGGTCTAACTTTGTCCCTGTTTTTTTTTATTTTTTTATTTTTTTCTATTCACATCTGTCGGTTGATGTCTTCGTATAAAAACAGAAATTAGGATTCATAAACTAATCCCAATTTCTGTTTTTTAGTTTAGAAGGTTTGCAATAATAAATTGTAATGAGTGTTGTGATTGAACTACGCGGACTATTTGAGCACATTCTCAAACTCACGTTCATTGTATTATTTATTGACGATTCAAATATTTTAAGGATTTCGTGTTCACGGACGATCACTAAGGTATTATTCGTGACCATTTGAGAATATATTAGCTAAGTTTTATATGAATTGAATAATTGGGTAGCCTTAAAAAGTAACGAAATTGAAATTATAAATTAGATAACTTAATTATTAAGTTTAATGCGTCATTTCGCTTCGGATTCTATTGTCGGTTTGGTATATATTGTTTTCTTTTTAAATAGACTTAAATTTTAAGTTCACTTGCGATTTAGTTCTCGGTCTGCTTCGCTAATGGAGTTTTCAATAATTTATTCAAACGAACCCTGAAGAACTTTTTGAAAGTTAAACTTAATTATAATAAATTATTAATATATTTTCTCCGTCCCAGTCACAACTTTTTGTTTGAGCTGTCCAAGAGTGTCTCTTTTTTTTTTCTTTTTTTCCTACCTGTGCTGATAGCCTTGAGAGGCAATTTCAGCTTCAACCTAACGTGTAGGTGAGCTCACGGGGCTCAAATCGGGAGTATTGCGAACACTGGCCCTAGCAAGAGCAGTGTTTCGCGAATCTACCACCGGATCGGAGACGCGACCTACTGAGAAGATCCGGCGAGAAACTCAGTGGGCTGTGTCTTTGGGTTAATTCGCTCGTAGTCCTTCGTCGCAAGCGACGGATTCGACGAGGAGAGTGTCTCTCAAAGGCCATCTTTGTCTATGAACTAAATGCATCTCTATATTTATAACTAGCAATTTGATTTGTTGGTTCTGTAGATGTCATTTTTTTTTAAATACGGAGATCTTGTATAGGGGCAATTTGAAAACCTTTCCACCTTGTAAACAGCTAGTTATTGTTGGAAGACTCACCGACACAGCGTTAGTGTAGGAAGTGGATAGGAATATAGCAGTTTTAAACAGAGAAGTGTGTTGGGTTAAAGTGAAGTGTGGTAGTTTATGACGCTGTTTTTTTTAATCTTTCCACTTGCTACAGTGGCGCCACCTTCATTGTCTCCCTTTCAGCGATCTTTTTAGTACACTGAGATCTCACTTCTAAACTCCATATTAAAAAAAAAGAAACTTTTAGTTTTGTATTATACATTGAATGTCGATTCTGATTTTTGGTTTTTTAATAAACTAATAAAATTTGATTTTCTTAAAAGCGCTCTTAAAGTCGGCCGTAAAAAGAAAACACACTTTTGGACGTGTCATGATTCTCTTTTAATATGAAGCTCCATGTATTAGATATTGATGAATAAAAATATGTATTGTCTGTACATAAATAAGTTTTGTGTTTTTATTTGTACTATACCTTGATCGAGGCGGGGAAACCTTCGTGGGATGTAACCGATAGCGCATCACACTGACTGTACGTGTACTCGATATCCCGACTTGTGGAATACAATAAACGGACAATTCTTTGTAAATTCATTGTCTAACGGCCGTCTGGTGTAGTGGTAAGTGCAATGGTCACTAGATAAGGGGGTCGCGGGTTCGAATCCCACCAAGGGAAAATATTTGTATGATAAATATAAATGTCTTTCCCAGGATTATGGATGTATATTAAATATATGTATGTGTATAATAAAAATCTTACATTTATATCCGTTATCTGGTACCTGTAACACAAGTTCTTTACGAGCTTAGCACGGGACCAGTTAACGTGGCGTGATTGTTAGTAAATATTTATTTATTATTGTCTCGAAATTGTGCCTGTATCTTGTGAGGTGAAATTAATTATGAATAATTATGGTCAGCCAGTTGTTTCAAGAACGACCAGTGCTTCGGCATCGCAACAATTAGGCCATTAACGCTTCATTTCAGGACGAATAAATAAAAAAACAAGATTTCGTAAAAAAAATGTTTTTAATCACGTGCAAAGACAACTTCAACAAACTTTCTAGATTCGGTTAATAACAACAGTTAATAGTTTGATAAAAAAACGGTTGATATTTATGATGGTCGTATTACGGCTAATGGCAATATGGAGGTAACAACTAATCACACAACACAGCTTAAAACTTACAAACAAATGACTAGTGTGTAAATACAATGTGTTACTAGACTACAAGAATAAAACACGTGTAGTATTTGCCAATAAAAAGACTACCCAACATGTGAAATATTAAGCTAGATTTTTTTTACACTGCTTGGATGTAAACATAATTTTACAGATTTTTTAACCAGATTATTTAGAATATAATTAGAACTAATTTTACGGTTAAATCTCTAAGATCTTGAACTGCATTGAATATTTTGCGATCTACCGTCAAATTTTCTATCACAAAATGCTTTTTATAGGAAATTTGACTGTAGAATATCGAGATATTGAAATCTCGACGAATTTACATATTAGTCTTACGTCGCCAAGAAAATTTAATTATTCGAAACTTTAGAAATAATATAATGACAATAATAATCATGAGATTAAACAACGTAAGAGCAGTTTTTAATTTTGTTTTTCGACTTTTGAAATCTTATTTTTTAAATTAATAAGAAAAATTAATTTTAACAATTGTTAACACAGAGACCGCAAGCTTATGTTAAATTCTTAAGCAATTAGTTACAGTGACAAAGTACTTAACACATTCATAAAATTAAAAACGACATGAATACTGGCATTCTGTTTATTATAATTAAAAAAAAAAATAAGATTCATAAAAACCTGAAAGTAACATGAAAATAAATGTTTCTCTTGATTACAAGAAACTTTTAAATAAGCATTAAAATTAAATAAAAAGTTAAGCAACATTTATATTATTATAGTAACAAAATAGGAGATAAATGAGAAAGGTAAAAAAATATTGCCAGATACTATAAAAGAAAAAGCATTATTGGAAGTGTTAACCCATAGAGTTTTTATACATCACTAACTATAGTGATGTATAAAAACTATAACTAAACTATTAGTTAACAAAAATATATTAAGAGGAAATGAAAAGGACTATAGATTGTTGTATACTTCAGTCAGGGTGAAAAAGCTATTGCTATTAATAAATTAATAGCAATAGCAATAGCAAACAATAGTTTAGTTACTGCAAGAAGTCCCAAAAATTATGTGCAATATTACCTATGGGAACAAGAGTTTGTAGAGTGACTTGGGTGTTATTTTCCGTAGTAAAAATAAATAGTAGATAAAAAGCTATCGTTGACACATTTTACAGGTACTAAAGATAAAATAAATACATGTTTGACCCGTAAGAAGTTTTAACAAATAATATTTTCATTAAAAAATATAATACGCAGTGACATAAGCGAGTTACAATTTCGATCTAATTCGTTTGCGAAATTCCTATTGAATTATTCGATTGTATTTTATCGACTATGAATGTACAGGTCAGTGTGTCCATCCCTAGATTATTTAATTTCGTATTTCTTCAAGAACATGAAACCAAATTGCCAGTAATTTAATGGAAAATCATTAATTTCACAAACCATTAAGATGTTCGATACAAAACTTGATTGACCTCTCCTTTATACATTTAACCCTATCTATTGAAAAATGAAGAAGAAATTTTTGATGAAAATATAATACAATAAATAAATATATTGAATACAAAAAAAATACGATCTTTATTTTACGCTACGCAAAAAACGCTGTGTTTTATAAATTAGTAACAACAAAATCTCACTTCTTAAACGACTATTCTGTGTTATACGACATTAAATTATGGCGTTTGACGCTAAACAATCTCAGAGATGACTTACAGTCCGCAGTAACTTAATGAAGCCATGAATACAACGATTTGTTTTGGGAAGTTTTCCATGTTTCAATAAGGTAATTTGATTTTTTCATTGAAATTAACTAACCTTGTTTGTAATTAAGGATGGTAGAAGAAAATAGGACCATCTTAGCGTCTTAAAAAGTGTCCACTGAAAGAGAGACAATTAAGGTGGCGCTACTGTAGCAAGTGGAAAGATTTTAAAAACAGCGCCATAAAATATTACAGTAGGAAACTAAATTAAGAAGGAAAAAAAAAAACGCTTCCTACTTAAATAGTAATACAAATATATAGTTGAGGTTTTAAAGACTACATATTTTTTAACTATAGAAGTCACGAAAAATATTAAAATTTTCAAAGCAGCACACTAAACTCTGATTAAAATTTCTATACTCATATAATTTCCATTTCCTACACTAGCGCTATTTCTGTGAATTTTTCAACAATAACTTGCTGTTTACAGGTGGAAAGCTTTTCAATTTGTCCCCTATACAAGATGGTGCTCCTTATTTCTACCCTCCATAATTGTACTAAATATTGAAATGCTAATTGTAACGAGATTGACATATTATGACATTATCATTGATCTGACAGATCAATCTGTTTGTAAACCGTTACCATAGACAACAAAATGTTTCTGTAATACTATTTTTGTACTATGTCTTATAGAATTCAAAATTTAAATTCTAGAATATTCGATAGATAATTTGAATGTAAGAAGGACTAGAACTCATCAGAACCTTTAAGCTCAATCATAAAATAATAATATTAAATATCTCACGATGATTTGAGTCCAAAATCGAATAAAACAAAATTGAGAACTTAAAAACGAAAATTGAAATGATAAGTTAAATAAACTTTTTTAAAGCATCATGCACAGATTGGTTAGGAGCAAGCAGTGCTTCCAGCCCCAATAATTTAGGCCACACTTTTCATTTCCTGTTTGACGCAGGACTTGAAAGCTTCCCATCCTTCGTTCTTGGCGGACGACTGAAATATGTTCAATTAAATAATTATTGATTAAAATTTCATAAGATTGATTCACAATATCGAGGTATTTATAGACGAGCTCATAGATGGCTTGCGTTAACACATTGTACGTCGGTGGCATCTGAGATATTTAAAGACTGAGCGCGTGTCGACCTCACAGTTCAACGTCCACCTGGTGTTGAGTGGTCACAGGAGCGCATAGACATCTACAACGTAAATGCCACCGCCCACCTTGAGATATGAGTTCTAAGGTCTCAGTATAGTTACAACGGCTGACCCACACTTCAAATCGAAACGTATTGTTGCTTCACGGCAGAAATAAGCAGGGTGATGGTACCTACCCGTGCGCACTCACAACACGTCCTACCGCTGGCTTTCTTCTCGGAAGCCGTTGCTGTTACCTCTCCCAGGATTCGAACCTGAACGTCTTATCAAGCAGACCGGCATTGCATTACCTTGAATCCCCGGTGCAGCCTGTCCTTCATGATGGCTATGAACTCCTTGTAGCTGAGCAGGCCGTCTCCGTCCGCGTCGAAGATCGCGAACACGGTGCTGACCAGGTGCTCCGACTGCCCTATGCCAGTGCATATCTTCACGGCGCGGTGGAACTCGTCTGAATTCGTCAAGAAAATTACAAGCGTTACTATTGTTACGCCGGTAAGAGTAACGCCATCTATCACCGAATAGTCGAACGAATATCGAAGGACCAAGAACGCTCGAGAGAAGTACAACGCCATCTATTGTCAGATAGTGGCAACTACTACTAGAGATGTGTGGAATATTTTCGATAATTTTAGGGATGAGGTATCGGCTATAAAGGAGTTGTAGAGATGGCACACAGTCAGTCAGTAATCGGAACTACTCGAAGCGAAGTAGATAAGGGATCACCTGAAGCGAAGCGGAACAAGCGAATTGAGAGTTTTAAAGTGTTTGTTGAGTGTTTCAAGTGTAGAACACTCCTAAACAGTCCTAATGTTCTAAGTGTTAACTTGTAATTCGGTAGAATACCGTATGTTCAGGCCAGTGCCTTCAATTATTTTAGAGCAATACCAAAGATGCTAGCTTTCTAAGGCGCTAAGTATCACAGCTTAATAAGTTAATGTATTTCACCATCATTCACTACCCGCTCTTCAAGCTCGCTGTACATCTCCATTAAAATATATCAGAACAATATCAAGTGTTGGAGTTTTACTACCACGAGAAACTCCCTTATGTACCACAAGCCGGTACATAAATTGGTGGCCCATGAGGGGAACTATACGCAAATTAAGGAAGAAATCACGGGACTCCCCTTGGTTGTCAAGAATATCGGAATCAAGGAGCCAACTTATCAGGACTTCAGGACAGGAGTGGTCAGTGGATCAGCTAAAGGTTCACGCCGGGAGCTGAGGTCTGCAAAAAGATAAGTGCCCTTTCCTTGCCAACGTACCCTCAATAAAATTATTAATTATTAAATTCCCGNGCTGCAGTACCTCTGTCTGATTTTGCTAGCCAGGAAGGCATTAAATTTAATTTCTCACCTGCTTACGCTCCTCACTTCGGTGGTATATGGGAAGCTGGCGTAAAGTCCGCTAAGCACCATTTGCGCCGCGTCGTGGGAAATAGTCATTTAACATTTGAAGAATTGTCAACCTTGTTTGCGCAAGTGGAGGCTGTACTAAACAGTCGTCCTTTATGCCCTCTTCCTGCCTGTCCTAAAGACCTACTTTCCCTTACCCCAGGGCACTTTCTCATCGGGAGACCGCTGAACGCAATGTCTTCTCCTGCTTTGGAAGACCGACCAGAAACATCTCTTCAACGATATGCACGGATTGAGCGACTCCGCCAGCATTTTTGGAAAAGATGGCAACGGGAATACATTGCTGAACTCCAACAGAGGACAAAATGGAGGACTAACTCTGGCAGACTGAAGATCGGCGATCTGGTTCTTTTACAAGAAGACAATGCTCCACCCCTATGTTGGCGTCTTGGACGAGTTGCTCGCCTTTTCCCTGGACCTGATGGAGTTTCAAGAGTTGCAGATATTACCACCACCAAGGGCTGTGTACGGAGACCGTTTACGAGGCTTTGTCCCCTTTTCATGGCTGATGAATCTGGCTGAAGAAGAAGGCTTGAAGAAACCTTTTTTGTATTTAGTTGTAACTTGTATTTAATTTTAAAATTTACCTTTGCTGGAGTATGTGCTATTATCTAGCTTGAGCTTAGATTATTTACTCTATTTATTTACTTAAGTCATTGATTTTTTTCAAATTTAGTTCATTTGTTTTGTTGTACTTTGTTAAATTAAAGAGCATGTCATGTTCACTCCCGGGGCCGGAAGATGTTCAGGCCAGTGCCTTCAATTATTTTAGAGCAATACCAAAGATGCTAGCTTTCTAAGGCGCTAAGTATCACAGCTTAATAAGTTAATGTATTTCACCATCATTCACTACCCGCTCTTCAAGCTCGCTGTACATCTCCATTAAAATATATCAGAACAATATCAAGTGTTGGAGTTTTACTACCACGAGAAACTCCCTTATGTACCACAAGCCGGTACACCGTATATGTATCAATGAGCAGACATGTAGAAGCCTAGGCAGAGTGCAAACAAACTTGCTTATCGAGCCCATTACACTTGCACCTGTGGTCAGGAGCGCTCACCACTGCAGTACCGAGTACATGCACTTATGGTCAGGAGCGCTCACCACTGCAAAACCGACATGCCCTACAACACAATGCCCTACCTTTGGATATAGGGTGATCGGCCAGCGTGTACATCCTCATGGCGATGCTGAAGTCCTCGAGGTTGTTCAGGAACTGGCAGAACGTCTTGAACTCCTCGAAGGTGATCCCGCGCTCGTGCTTCATCCTGTCCAGCAGGCGGTCCAAGTACATGTCGTACTCGTCCGTGTCTAGATACGTGTACCGGAGCAGGATCTTCGCGAAGTCCACTTCTGATATGGTCTCGTGGCCTAACGCCAAATTTGAGTGCATTTAGTGTATCGACCATAATTCTTTATTGTTATTTGATATCGTTAATTTTTTTATGGCTTAGATGGATAGAAGAGCTCACAACCTGGTGTTAAATGGTTACTGTAGCCCATAGACATCTACAGCATAAATGCCGCCACCCATCTTGAGATATGAGTTCTAAGGTCTCAGTATAGTTACAACGGTTGCTCTACCCATCAAACCGAAACGCATTACTGCTTCACGGCAGAAATAGGCAGGGCGGTGGTACCAACCCGTGCGGACTCACAAGAGGTCCTACCACCAGTAATATACGTACGTATACCACCAATATACGTGAGCTTCTTTGACTGGTTATTTGGGCCCATACCTAACAACCCGTTACAATCTCAATAGCTGCCCAGAATTAGGCAGGAGTGTGATACCTACCCACACTTATATCAAAGGACGTACAATTCTAGAGCAATAACGAAAGGCCTTGTTTTTACCTTTGGCGAACTCTTGGAACTCCAACTCCAGCACCTCAGATTGTAGATTCTCCATGAACTGCTTGAAGCCCTCGAAATTGAGGTCGTTGTTACCTTTCTTGCCGAAGAAGTGGATCTGTCGGAGAAGGATATAGACGAGAGTTAAGAGAAAACCGATAGGTTGTCTATCAACATATGCGACCCAGGCGACGGTGTAACGCAAAGCTACCGTCACCCGAAATATGTCTTATCGGATCCTCTGGATCTCTGAATCGGTAGGTAGCGGTTTGGTCGGTAGGTAGCGGCTTGGCTCTGCACCAGGGATTGCTGAAGTCCCTGGGCGACGGTAACCACTCATCGTCAGATGGGCCATATGCTCGTCAGCCTACAAGAGCAATAAAAATATATTTAAAAAAACTAGCCCATAGACACAGCCCACCGAGTTTCTCGCCGGATCTTCTCAGTGGGTCGCGATTCCGATCCGGCGGTAGATTCAGCGAAGCGTTGCTCTTGCTAGGGCTAGTGTTAGCAAATTCTCGTTGAGCCCGTGAGCTCACCTACCGCGCGTAGCTGGAATAGCGCCCTAGGCTATCAAAATGAAAAGATATGACTATCGCAACTTGGCTGTATATTACAAATGTTCTCCCATGAAATACCTGTAGGAACGTATCCACGTTGTGTCTCCTCTGCAGGCCCTGGTCGTCGTTGACGTAGTTCTCGTGGGCGCCCTCCGCTAATTTGTCGTCGTCATCGTTTATCCCGCGTTTCCCCCTCCAAGCGTAGCTGAAGATCTTTTCCATCTGAGCCGAAGATGTGCAAGTTTATTTACAATGCGCGCTTCTCACGTATTAGTTGAAACATTCGTTGAAGAGAAGGCGAAACTTACAAGAAGTTTGAAGTTCTTTCCATGTTTTTCGAAGTTATGTTACGTATGTTCAGATTAATTCGTGCTATAGATAATCGTTATACGTTGGACTGACCAGATTTTCGCACTACCCTCGACACCACAGTTCACGATGCTCTACACTCGGCGGCAGATAGAGGCAAATGGCGTGGAATGGTCCGCAATAAACTCTTGTTGCGAGGAGGTCGTCACGACCCTCAGTATTGAGGAAACCGAAGCAAGAAGAGAAGAAGATAATCGTTAAAGTATTTCAATATATTATCTTTTCCTCGCCGCCGTTGAGAAAACTATGGTACGTCAATATAGTTCATGTAAGCTCAGCAATGCTCGGGACGGATCTAATCCGAGGACTGTGATGTCGTTTTCGTTAACGGCATAATCACATCGTGATGCAACCTACAAACCATTTTTTATCTCTTTCTATCGTGACTCAACTGGTTCGCAATGAACAAGACGTAACGCAGTATATTTAGGGTTGTGTTCTAAAACTTTTATTAATAATGCTTTTGATAACATGTTTAATTGAATTAACGGGGACGTTTCAAGCGATATTTTGTATGTCTTCTTAAAACACATATATGGCGTGTAACGGTAATTCCACTCATTAATTTCATGGCTGCATTTTTTTTTAATAAAAAAAATTTTTTTTTTTTTTTTCAAAACAAAATGTGGCTTAAAATATCACCCCTAATTACTTAGTTTTAAAGAAAACATCTGAGAAAACCCTCCATTATCGGTGTTCTTAAAATCACGTAATAGATGTAATATGAAGAAAAAAACCACAATAATACACATAGATATTATAAGAAAAACACATAATAAAATTGAAAAATAAGAAAATATGTTAATCACAATAGTACATTTATAGATGGAAAATTATAAAAAAAGCTCGTGGTGAAATTTAGTACGTATATTAAAAAACAATCAGCTTTTTGTTTGTTGCAAAGCAGCGCGCAATTTCAACGGAACTTCTTAAAAAAGATTGATTCCTGAATTTCCTTATTTATATTAACGAGAATTCTCTATATTTTTTCGGAAAATGCAAAATGAGGTTTATGAGGAGGACATGAGTAAAGAAAAAAAAAAATATTTTAAATATCGTCACTTATAAAAAAAGAACCGCATTATGTAACAAGAGACAATTCATTACAAAAATACAAGAAAATTAACACAAGAAAATGCATTCCAACACTTGCGAATCCCAACATAATTTAGACTTACTGTAGAAGGATTATGGATCTTTAACGAATTGCCCATACGATTCCTCGTTGCGCTTGTCGAGACTAATGAAAGCAGCTAAAATGGCGAGGCGTAAAGCATACAATTATACACAGATATAAATACATTGTCATATATACAACTTTTTATAAACAGTAAAAAGATGAGATAAATTTACAAGAAGTTATTTAAAGATAAGTGTTATGAATGTCTTCATACAATGCCATTTTACTTCCCATGTAAAGTAACAAGTAAATATTATTGTATAACCGAAATTTAACTAAATTATCAGGTTAATAAAATAAATGATATGTTAAATAACGTTGAAATAACCCAAGACAGATGCCCAAAGATTCGTATTTAAGACATAATTAATTTTCATTGATATATTACTTAGTGCTTAACGAAAACCATTATATGAGTCGACTATTATCAAAGCCGGCAATGTGACTTTTGGACAATGATTGGTAAATCAGAAAAACGAATTATTGACTTTGTATTCCATTGGCAGTCACAAAACTCTTCTGAACGACATCTTAGATAAATAACAGGTTAAGTATCAACCTTTATTTAATGTAGGTTTTGAACCGTATTCTTTGAAGGAGACGATTATATTCAAATCAATCTGTATTGACAAATCAATAACATTTTTTTATCCAAATGCACAGATTGCCACCTTTGATAATAGACGACTCATATAACCTTCATAAAAATAACAAACTTTTTTTTAAATTTGATTCTTTGTAGCAAAACCGACTGGCTTAGAAATAAACTATAGACGTTAAAAATGTTTTTAAAACAACTTAATCTTTCAATTGACACAATGAAAAAAAAATGTGATTCAATTCAACGAGCACAATCTGAAAATAGTTGCCGGGCCTAAAAAAAACACGTAAAATTAAAAAAAATAAAACGCAAACGTATCTCAGGCGGATATTTACACATTGAGTGAGCGGCACAAATTCCCCTGCGGACATGAAACTAAAATTTAACTATCGATATTGCTCTTAAACGAACGGTCTTATGTTAACTGTTATTTTTTTAAGATTGGAGAATTATCGGTGGCCCGGAGGTCTTTCCAGTTTCACCAGGACCGTTGGGCGAGCGCGGGCTCAGCCACGAGGGGTGAGATTTGATAACAATTGTCCGAGCGCCTCCACAAGAGACCTAACAACTCAATAGCAGCTGCTTCGCGAATGAATCTATTACCGGATCGGAATCGCGACCCACTGAGAAGATCCGGTGAAAAACACAGCGGGCTCGAACATATTGTCTGTACGGTGAGTACCCGTTAGTAATTATGAGCTTCCGTGAGTACGTTTTCATTAAACAGTTATTTTAAGTACTTTTTAATGGGTAGGAAGGTTTAAATTTTAGTTTCATATGACCGACACATATCCCTGTAAAGCTCTCAATGTAAACTCACGGCCTCTTGGCTTTTCGCGTCCACGTTTTTGCGCTCCTTGAAAGCTCCGCCCAGCAGACGTTGGATCTATATTTTATTACGCAAATAAACAAACAAAAAAACAAACTTAAAATAAACAAAACAAAAAAATGATCGCGTCTTCTCGCATGAAGCCATCCAATTTCACAATCCAAATTCAAACACTCGTTTGAATGGACTGACAGATTTAGGGTTTAGAATCAGGGTTTATTATATCAAAAATCTATAATTTAAGATTAAAGGGGTATAATATATATATACATATAAATAAATTATACACAATATACATACTTATATATTTATATAATAATAATAATAATAATATGGCATGTGTATAATACTGATACTAATATTGGTAAATATCATCAGCTGCTGTAAAATCATTACGAATTATGACGATTGAGCACGCACGGATTCGTACCACTGTTCTGTATATGGTTACCGCAAAACTATCGTGGATGTCAGTCCGAAGAAAGAACGACCAGGCAAGTGATTTTTGCCTATTTCAGCCGCGAAGCAGTAATGCGTTTCGGTTTGAAGGGTGGGGCAGCCGTTGTAACTATACTGAGACTTTAGAACTTATATCTCAAGGTGGGTGGCGCATTTACGTTGTAGATGTCTATGGGCTCCAGTAACCCTTTAATAACCAGCTGGGCTGTGAGCTTGTCCACACATCTAAGCAATAAAAAAAAAACTAGCACCGGATCGGAAACGCGACCCACTGAGTTTAGTCTACTCTACAGGGGTCGGAGGTGTGGTGTGTTGGAATCCAATCCTAATACTAACAGTTCATGTATGCTCATCGGTAGAGCGCTAGCAGAAATTCCTGATGTTTCCTGAGTTACATTAGTCCTCAAACGAGATTCTCACTGGCGTTCTGAGCCTCCAGCATTCTTTTTTTAGGATTGAAAGATTACTGGCGGCCCGATGGCCTTTCTAGTTTTACCAGGACAGGTGGGCGAGCAAATGCTCAGCCAAGAGGGGTCGGATTTGCTAACCGCTGCCCGAGCACCTTCAAAGGAGATCTAACAGTTCAAGAGCAGCTGCTTCGCGGATGAATCTACTACCGGATCGGAATCGCGACCTGCTGAGAAGATCCGGCGAAAAACTCAGCGGGCTGATGCATGGGTTAGGTTGCACGTCGACTTCTTTGCCGAGTTTGACGAGTACGGTTACTACTTACGGAGTAAGGTTCCTAAGCCTGCTCCTAGTGTTAATTCCAACATTCTACAACGGCCGTCCATCCTTCGGGACCTAGAACGCGTGATTGCTTCGCGGTACAAACGCGTCGGTTAATGGTACCTTCCCGTGCGTGCTCACGATACGCTACGCAGTTAAATCGTGCTACTATTCAATTCATTAACTATAAACTTCAAACTAAAATTCGCTTGCTACTAAAGGAGACTAACTAAATTTTCCGTCTACGTTTGAGTCAGTGAACTATTTGTAGGTATGTACTCACAACTAGAAACTCGTTCTTGTCTACCCTCTGATTGCCGTCTGTGTCAAACATGTTGAAGGCAATCCGGAAACCCGACGCCGGCTCTGAAATAATTAACTCTTGTAATCTCTTATTACACAAAAGAACAACTCTTATTATCCCATCTTACTAACTCTTATATGAGTCGTCTATTATCAAAGGTGGCAATCTGTGCATTTGGACACAAAAATGTTATTGATATGTCAATACAGATTGATTTGAATATAATCGTCTCCTTCAAAGAATACGGTTCAAAACCTGCATTAAATAAAGGTTAATCCTTAACCTGTTATTTATCTAAGATGTCGTTCAGAGGAGTTTTGTGACTGCCAATGGAATACAAAGTCAATAATTCGTTTTTCTGATTTACCAATAATTGTCCAAAGGTCACATTGCCGGCTTTGATAATAGTCGACTCATATATAGAAATAGAAATAACACGTGTAGCACTAGGCGAATGCCGCGGTAAAGCGATTGCATAGCATTTTTTATCAACTTATGGAATTATAATTAGATAATAATAATAATTTAATATTAAAACAATTATACAATAAGACCAAGCTATATTTATAAACATTAACAGAAGCAAAACATTAACTGTCCCCTTCACACTCATAAGCTAGAACACGCGAGAGAGAGAGATGGGCAGACTTTTCACAAACACTGCACAACACTTCACAAACGCTTATTCACAAACACCACACAAGCGCAACGTGTGAATGTGTTGAACGTGAGCTACATGGTAGGCGGAGTGGGGGCTGTTAGGTTTTATTTTCGTTACGCAATTTTTTGATTCGGTCGCCGCGCTAAAAGCCCGCAAAAAAAGCTATGCAATAGCTTAATAGCTCTTATTATCTCTTCTTACTAATACTTATTAAAGAAATAAAAAAATCTTGATTTTAACAACAAAGATAAAAAGAAATATATTGATGATATACTCAATTTGGATTCGGTTTAATTTTTTTTGATGTGAAACGTCTATAGCCGCACGTAAAACCGATTTCTAGCGTGGCGACGTATGCCGTGGCGACGCATCGCCACGCTATATGATGGTATATATATACAGTCTATATGCAGTAGTGTGTATGGTGTGGCGACGCGTCGCCATGCGCAATCGACTGCGATTCTCTCCCACTCGATCCGGCGTTAAGCCATCTCTCTCGCTACACTGAGCTCGGATACCTATAGTATATATATACTCCGTAGTGTATACAGTGTTGTTTACTACAGTACACATAACCTGTGTTTTACTTGAAAACAAATTATTTTTTCGTAATAATTTATTTTATCATTATGACATACTTAGTTCCTATCACAATCTGTTCTTTTCTGCATAACTTACAAAATAATGTCGATGATTCACATCTGCCAGTCGTCCCGTGACGGATCACTTTTTTTTTTTAAATTGTACTCTATACGTAGACGGGTCATGGGTATATATCGCCGTCCACATTGAGACATGAGGTCGATGTTTCCATTTGTTTCGTATAACGGCTGTCCCGTTTTCAACTTGGGACCTCTAACTGTTTCGCGGTAAAAATAAGTTTATATCGATGTTCTTTCTGTATTCATGCGGGCTTACACTAATGGTTTTAAAAGTGCTACAATTTTTTTTTTATTGCTTATGGGTGGACGAGCCCACAGCCCACCTGGTGTTAAGTGGTTACTGGAGCCCATAGACATCCACAACGTAAATGCGCCACCCACCTTGAGATATAAGTTCTAAGGTCTCAAGTATAGTTACAGCGGCTGCCCCACCCTTCAAACCGAAACGCATTACTGCTTCACGGCAGAAATAGGCAGGGTGGTGGTGGTACACACCCGCGCGGACTCACAAGAGGCCCTACCACCAGTAAGTTTATTTTATTGCCCTTGTAGGCAGACGAGCATACGGCCCAGCTGATGGTGATTGGTTACTGTCGCCCTTGGACTTCAGCAATCCCAAGGAAAGAGCCAAGCCGCTGCCTAACGTTTATTATATTAAGAATAGCACTATTTGAGGGTAGTCTTATAAATTGTTTATAAATCTCCTAAATGAACCGTCGTGAAAATAATAAATTTAAATAATTAATTCATAATATAAAAAAAATACTCACTTGTTAAAATCGATAGAAGAAACAGGTATTCCGTGTATGATATGATCCCTAGAATATAATACACTAAATTAAAAAAAAAACACTTAATAGATTTTTCGTTGTTTCAAAGAAGGCATAACTGTTATGGATATACCGTATCCGTAGCACAGGAAACCGAACTAATTTTATAATTTAGGAACGCTAAATATAAAACTAAATTAATTTCGCCTTGGACAGAATAAGTTCATCTGTAATATTTATAGTTCACTTTAGGCTCTTCATAATCTTAACTTCATAGCTTGGTGCTTCAACTAAAAACCCAAATTACTTGGCGTTCCAATGCTGCTACATGCATATATACCAAATTTCTAATCAATTCGAACTGTGTTTCGAAAGATAAAAATCACGGCTACCAAAGCCAACGGCGTTCGGCACGGACGTACCTATTCGTTGGAGTGGTCATGTTGCCCTTTATATGTATGCAAAGTTTCATATAAATTGGTCTGATGGTTCTCAAGCTTTAGATGAACATACCCAAATTTTTTTTTTTTTTCCTACCTTAGCTAATAGCCCTAGCGGCTATGTCAGCGTAACCCTAACTTTAGTAGGTGAGCTCACGGGGCTCAAACCTGACGATGTTGCTAACACGAACCCTAGCAAGAGCCGTGCTTCGCAGAATCTACCACCGGATCGGAAACGCAACCCACTGAGAAGATCCGGCGAGAAACTCAGTGGGCTGTGTCTGAGAGTTAATTTACTCGTCGAGCCCTTCGTCGCAAGCGACGGGTTCGACGAGAACGGTGACCGGTGCTTGAAGTACCTAAAAGCACCGTTAGTGGATCGGGAGGATCCGAGATGACGTGTTTTGGGCGACGTCGACTGCTTTCCATTCTGTCCGCAGGATCGGGCATACCCACAAACACATACATTATCTTAAATATAGATATCAAGAGGTGAAAGGTTATTTAGTTTAAGCGACATTTCTTCGTAATTAAAGGTCCGTGTCGCGGCGCCTGACTCGTTTAGCACAGCAAGCTAGCCAAAACGTCATACCAGAACATTTACTACTACCGGCACCGCGCGCTGACAGCATTCAACAACATTCTTATGATACCTCACAATAATCATTATTGGCACAAGATCCTTCCTTTTCGAGAAAGGTCACATTCATTATATTCAACGACGTGCAATCAGAACCAAAGCATTGTAAATTGTAATTAAAGCAAGTAGCAAGAATTCAATTGGTTTTATTATAAACGCAATAAAGCCACAGTGTCTCGCGTAGACAGTCCGTTTTATTTAGTACTAGCTGTACCCGTCCGCTTCGCTGGGCATTTAAAATTAACATTATTATTTCTCACCCCCACAGAGATTCTCATCATTGACGCCCCCGTAACTGGTGTAGGGAGTCCAACACTCATATAAATATTAGCCTATCCATTAAGTACATGTATTTTCTACATGGATACCAAGTTTCAAGTCAATCGGATGCATGGTTCAGTAGTTATAACGGAACATCCGTAAAAACCATTGTAGATTTACATATATTTAGTATTAGCAACAATAGTCCGATGTTGTTAATTGAACTTCAACTAAGTTTACTCCTTTCGAATAGCTATAGAAGTTTTTTGTTACGATATTTTTTTCTAAATTTGAAACATCAAATGGCTCTTCTGTAATGTCGCTTGACCCAAATAGCCTTCACCCCTCAATATAACTGATTTACTAATTAAGATTTATAAACGAATGCATGCTCTATACCTTTGTCTTTAAGCTTCCTGAACATCTGCGAAGAGCCCTTCTTTAGTTGAGGTGTTTGGTCCTGCAGGTTCTCTATCTCTTTGGTTGTTAAAACTCTTCGTTTAAGTCGAGCTGGAGGAGTTTTTTTTTATTTATTTTTTTATAGCTTACGTGGGTGGAGGAGCTCACAACCCACCTGGTGTTAAATGGCTATCGGAACCTATAGACATCTACAACGTAAATGCCGCCACCCACCTTGAAATAAGAGTTCTAAGGTTTCAGTATGGTTACAACGGCTGCCCCACCCTTCAAACCGAAACGCATTAATGCTTTACGGCAGAAATAGGAAGTATGTTGTTACCTACCCGTACTCACAAGAGGTGCTACCATCACTAATTACGCAAACTATAATTTTGCGGGTTTGATTTTTATTACACGATTATTATTACTTCACCGTCGAAGTCATTTGTGAACATTTGTTAAGTACGTATTTCATTAGAAAAATTGGTACCCGCCGGCGGGATTCGCACACCGGTGCATCGCTACACACGAATGCACCGGACGTCTTATCCTTTAGGCCATGACGACTTCAAAAGTCCAGTAGCATACGTCTTTAGGCTGATGATATTTGATACATTGCTCGCAGAACGCATGGCCGTTCTTGAGTGGCAGCCGCGTACTGGAAGACGTAGCGTGGGTAGGACTCCCACAAGATGGGCCAACGATCTATTGAGGTTCGCGGGGATCCGCTGGATGCAGGCAACGCAGGACCGGTCTTTGTGGCGAGGCTTGGAGGAGGCCTATGTCCAGCAGTGGACGTCCATGGGCTGATAAGAAGAAGATGCTTATATGCACTTACGTCTCGGCTCCTGTTCGACTACTGACTCGAGGAAGTCCTGGGGCGTCATGTAGAGCTGTCCACCGTACTCGACGCTCGCGAACTTGATGAAGCGACGCTCCCTCGACGTCAGCTTCACCGATTTCGCCAGTTCGTCAGGCTGTGGGCATTAGGATAAAGATTCCGTAAAAATCTAATCAGTACCTTGTGATATAGTTGTTGCAAAGTACGACTGCGCGCCGCCCTTACTTGGGTGAGTGACCAATCTGTATACGCGTCAATGTAGGTTATATGTAGCTAATGTAGCTACTGATCGCTCTAGCTAGCGGCACGACACGAGAACTCTCTCATCGTGGTCGCCAGTAACTACATTCCCGATCGGATCGGATCGATCCGGCGAGAAACTCAATGGGCTGTGTCTGTGGGTTCATTCGCTCGTCGAACTGAAGGGCTCGACGAGGACGGTGACGGGTGCATGTGGTACCTAAAAGCACCGTTAATGGATCGGGAGGACCCGTAATGACGTGCGTTCATCGATTCCCACATCGAACCCACGACCCTCGGCGCAACGGTCTCGGTTTATTCAATGAAGAGATACTCAAACAGATGTAACAAGTTCACGTTGTCCACGGACACATCCTTTGACACCCGATACATATTTTGTTACGTCAGAAAAAATAAAAAGTTTCATTAGGAACGCGACACCCGAAAGCGGTTTATTTACCTCGTTCGGGGTTCTATTTTGGAATCAAGAAAGTTTTGCGACACGGTAGTATGAACTGTATGTTTGGGAGGGCTTAGATGACAAAGGGAAGATCTTCCACCGAGCGGGTGATATTTGCTCGGTATATTGGTCCGAATGGTGTTGTTCGGAACTTGTATATATGCGCTTTATCTTGAAAATGTCGTTAGCGACATTCAGGCATCTGTCAAATATCTTGCGTTGTATGATGGTTACCCGCCACGGCGTGCTTAGTGCGAGTTTTTTAACGTTCTCGATAGCGAAAAAGTTAACTCAAATTTGTATGCAGTTGGAACAACGCCCCTAGCGGAAAACGTAGGCAAAAGTTCCAACTCCATACAAATTTGAGTTAACTTTTACACTATCGAGAACGTTAAAAAATGTGCACTAGGCACATTGAAGATGTTTGAACTATAGATAGTATGCGTGTAGATGTCGGGACGGATTCACACGTCGACTAAATTCCCGATCCTGCGGACCGAATGGTAAGCAGTCGACGTCGCCTCAAACACGTCATTTCGGATCCTCCTGATCCACTAACGGTACCCCAAGTACCGGTCATCGTTCTCGTCGAACCCGTCGCTTGCGACGAAGGGCTTGGCGAGTAGACTAGCACATAGACACAGCCCACTGAGTTTCTCGCCGGATCTTCTCAGTGGGTCGCGTTTCAGATCCAGTGGTAAATTCTGCGAAGCACTGCTCTTGCTAGGGCTAGTTTTAGCAACGACGTCAGGTTTGAGCCCCGCGAGCTCACCTACGTGTTAGGGCGAAGCTGAAATAGCCTCTCAAAGCTATCAGCATAGGTAGGAAAAAAAGAGACACTCTTGGACAGTACAACCAAAAAGTTGTGACTGGGACGGAGAAAATATATTAAATATATTAATTAAAATAAATTTATTATAATTAAGCTTAACATTCAAGAAATTGTTCAAAACTAACCGTGAGCTCACATTCTTGTTAGGGTTACACTGAAATAGCCTCTTAGGCTAATAGTGAATAGATTGAAAAAAATAAGTCAGAATTAATTAAATACCCTTAATGTTTTAATAAATACAGTTGATTTATGGACACCCGTGCTTATTACCAGGTTTATGAATGAAATGAAAAAAAAGCTCACGCTTCGCCATCCGCTTTGAAACAGGACGTCTAAGCTTAAATTCGACCATAATACGACCTAACGCTTGTTTGCGCTTTTAATGATAAATAAACTATTTTATGCAGTGATGTGGCCATGCTGCTATAAATTCTGATCTGTGATTCCGATTCCACGCGAATTCATTTAAAATCGATTTTTAATAAAGCTTATAGAGAAATGGAGTAGATATGTACATAGGTCAGCAATTTCGACATTCGAAAATACCGTATCCAATTACCTTGATATATTCCGTGTACAAGTCTCGAAATAAAACATTTCGTATGGGCATTAGCGTTAAGGAATCCGGAGCCCATTGGAAATGTTTCGCTAAAACCGGCACACTTCTAAATTGTATGTTCAAACAGAAATAGAATTATGACATACTTACCGACTTATAATAACTGTGTTTGTATTATAATTGAATTCACAGTATTGCGTTTTGTTCTCGCTTACTGTTAAATAAAATTATGTGGTCATTTATTTAAATACGATTTCCGGAAAAACGCATTCATAATTTAATTCGTAGTAAGCGTTTTGGCTGTGTGCAGTAAGATACGTTTACTATGTCACTTTAAAAAAAGTTGAACTGTCAAGAAAGGAAAAAAGTACAAAAACTAAATTTTTCAGACATTTTGGCGGGAACGCGAGGAGTGAAGTTGTGTGATTTGTTTTATTTTGTCTATTTAGTGTTTCTTCAGGTTTAAATTTGTAATAACGGTGGTTTATTTACTGTTTAATATCTGTGAAAGTGCACAAAAGTGGGAAAATGAAACAAAGCCGCTGGACGTAACTTCTCTGGATCCTCCAAAAAGTCCACTGAAAACTTCTCAGTATATGACCACCATTTTACTGAGATTATATTTCATGCCATAAGATCTCATCTCATTTCATATGATTACATTTCATTTCATTTCATAATATCATTTTTCATATCAAAAAAATACAAAGCTGTATGGTATGATACCTTCGCCTTTCCAATTGGAAAAATAAAACTATTACTATTTCATTTTTCATATATTTCATTTTTCATTGTAGTTTATCGGAGTTTACTGTTCATCCGTGTTAAATAATTACGTAACCACTGAAAATCGCAGCGCAAATGGCCACCACTCGCATGGATATACGAAGATGTATAAGTCGCAATGGTATTGCGTAAATTTTACTGGTGGTAGGACCTCTTGTGAGTCCGCGCGGGTAGGTACCACCACCCTGCCAATTTCTGCCGTAAAGCAGTAATGCGTTTCGGTTTGAAGGGTGGGGCAGCCGTTGTAACTGTACTGACATTACAACTTATATCTCAAGGTGGGTAGCGCATTTACGTTGTAGATGTCCATGGGCTCTGGTAATCACTTAACACCAGGTGGGCTGTGAGCTCGTCCACCCACCTAAGCAATAAAAAAAAATCAATGTCCCATATACCAAACTAAAATGCATGACTGTTTCGCGCCAAAATAGTGTTTTTTTTAATATTGCGTGTTTATATTTTTATTAGTACAACACTTCTAAGGTACGTACCTAATTACCCAAAATATTGACGCCTGCCCCGCAGAACAGTGAAAATTGAATCGGTTACGTCACTCTATTTGAATACCCCATTTTATGCCTAGCAAAACCTTAAAACAATTGTTATCAAACATATCTCTCCTAGTAATTTTTTTTCCCTACCTATGCTGATAGCCTTGAGAGGCTATTTCAGTTTCACCCTAACGTGTGTAGGTGAGCTCACGGGGCTCAAGCCGGAGTGTTGCTAACACTGACCCTAGCAAGAGCAGTGCTTCGCAGAATCTACCATCGCCATTGAGAAGATCCGGCGAGAAACTCACTTAAAATGAGACTCCAATCATTGTATTGTTTTGACTCGCTTTTGAAAATAAAGAATTGTTGTATATATTTTTTTTGTATGAATAAATAAAAGTTTCTTTCTAATTCCAAGCTTAGCAGTCATAGAAAATCCCAAAACGATCCCTTCGGAAGGATTCAAAAGGAATCTCATAGGTTTTTTTCTACACGATAATAGATCACGAACTTTTCACATTGCATTGACCCGCTGTATTTTTTGTTCAAATAAACAAAACGATTAATTATAACATAACAAAAAAAAAAAACGTTCGTCATAGCCCATTTGTATTTCGAATGTCGTTTTCGATTTAAATACTTTCTACCCCGTTGCAAGATTTATAACTCCTTTTAGGGGTGGCATGGGCCAAATTTATTTATAGCTATATTTGTGACAAAACAGCTATTAAAACGACCGAATGGGTTGCAACGGAGTTTTATTGTTGCATCCCTGATTTATTGACGCGATAAGAGAAATATTTTCTTTTTTATTTGAAAAAAAAAAAGAAAAAGTTTTTTAATGTCTGCCCTCAGCATCATCGATAGAACTTTCAATATGAACATTGGATTATGCAAGAATAGCCTTAGAAAGGAGATTGGATGAGATTGTTAGACTTTCTGTTTTAAAATATTAAAAAAAATAATCGGAATCGCATAACGTGGTATTGCTGTAACAGTTAAACAAAAGCAAAAAGGCGAAATAGTACCAGGTACCACCGCCCTGCCTATTTCTGCCGTGAAGCAGTAATGCGTTTCGGTTTGAAGGGTGGGGCAGCCGTTGTGACTATACTGAGACCTTAGAACTATATCTCAAGATGGGCGACGCATTTACGTTGTAGATGTCTATGGGCTCCAGTAACCACTTAACACCAGGTGGACTGTGAGCTCGTCCTCCCATCTAGGCAATAAAAAACGATAATATGTATTTTATTTAACGCTAATAAAAGCGAAGTTCTCCCAGACATGAATTAGAGAAGCAGACAGCGGCTTGGCTTTGCCCCTGGCATTGCTGACGTTCATGAGCGACGGTGACCACTAACCATCAGGTGGGCCATATGCTCGTTTGCCTACAAAGGCAATAATAAAAAAATAATAAAAAAAGCTCATAATTTTGGGCTGCATAGAAGGCAAGCCGTGGGCAGAACACCAGCCCGATTATCAGATCTGGTTAAGAAAGCGGTTAGCGGTAGTCGATAACCATGAGGTTCAAGCTACCCATGACCCGAACGACCGACGTCGTCGTGGCCTAAAGGATAAGACGTCCGGTGCATTCGTGTGTAGCGATGCACCGGTGTTCGAATCCTGCAGGCGGGTACCAATTTTTTCTAATGAATTAAATACGTACTCAACAAACGTTCACGATTGACTTCCACGGTGAATGAATAACATCGTGTAATAAAAATCGAACCCGCAAAACTATAATTTGCGTAATTACTGGTGGTAGAAC